CTATTCAAGCCTTGAAATTGACGTAGCGCGAGAATTCTGGTCTTCTAGCGACAGACTCGCCGTTTCCGCCCCTAACATTATTTATAGACGGTTTCATAAGGATTTCATACCCAATTTTATGATTAAAAAATATTCTACCAAGTAAATTCATATTTAACCGGTAATTACGCAATATTAATATTAATATCACATAAATAATTGGACTAAACCTTGCGAAATATCGTCATATAATTTTTAATAATCACTAAATCAAAAAATTTCGCCCATATTAATGTTAATAGTACTAATAAAATCACAACCGCCAGTTAAGTAAAAAACGTTCTTGGGCCAATTTTACCATAATACAGGCTTATTTTTTTAAAAATTTCTATTTTTGTAAAGAAAAAATTAAAATGTTAATTCCGGCCAACAATTATGTAATGCGTGCCAAAATTTCGAAGATCCTCGGCCGTTAGCCAATCAAAATCGAGGATCTGCCGTGACAATTTTGTTGCGGCAGCTATGTCCCTATTAAAATAATACTATTAAAATATATAATAATTGTATTATTAAAATTATAAAAATATAATAAGTATTGCTGATCAGTGGTGAGTGATAACTTTTAACGTTAAAATAAGTTGGCCGTAGCTTTTAAGTTGAATACTAATCAGAACGAAACCCAATACTAATAATATTTTCAATATTCGGGATCGATCTTATACTTGTGAGATCTTTTATTTTCAGTAGCTTAATTTTATTTAAAATATAAGTATATCGCTTACAAATTTAATTTAAATGCAAAAAAATTTTAAAAAATGCTCCAAAAATTTCATCACACTACTGTAGTACAGTAGCTCTAACTAATGAAACTACATAAGAAGAATATAACTCAATACATATACACAAGAAATTAAACAAAATATTATCTTTCGATATTGAATAGCCGTTTATCTTAAAACGTCTCAGCTCTCAAATCTAGAAAAGTAAAATTAAATTAAGAGAAATATTATTAAGCCTTCGTAATTAGTATCCAAATATCAGCACAATTAAGATTCAAATCTTATTCTTGAATTTACGTTTGCCAAGTTCTAGCGCTAGTTACTTTATATATATATATATTATATACCAGCTTCACGTGTTATTAATAAAAAAAAAAACCGTGAACCAATAAAAATCTATAGATTATTCTAGAATCGATCTGGAATGCCCCTGTCTGAAGTAAGTTCAGGAGTATCAATCAGATTTGTATCTTGTTTTTATGTTATTAAAAAATATCTTTACTAAGTTTCACTACAAGGGTTTATTGGAAACAACTTTACGTGGAATGGAGTATAAAGCCATGGAAAAGTAAGTTTTAAGCATGAGCCGCGTTTAAACATGGCATCAGAGTTTGATATATTAATAAAACCCGTTACAAAAGCGAAGCAAAGATACTCCGTGAATTGAAGGTTAGAGTTTATTTTTTTATAAATGTAAACGTTAAACGAGAATAGTAAAGTTTGCTAAGGTCTCAGGGGATTAGTTTTATGTTTTGGTAAATGTAAAACGGCTTACGAGAATAGTAACGTACTACTTCTTGCGCCCCTTACATCCAAGGTTGGGCATGCGGAGCTGCCGTGTGCTACGCCCCTTCAAACATCTTCTTTATGCATTCGGGGGAGGTTCGGTCCATTGGTTCGTTCCAATGGGTTGGGTTGGGGAAGAGCACCTAGTATGTGACATGAAATGCATTGTTTACTATAAAGTTCTTTTCACTAAAGCCTGCGATTCGAAGGAGGAATCAGCTATGTATCTTTTTTATGCTGTAGATAAAAGATCTTTACTCACAAAATTCTATTTTCTCAGAAATCAGATTGTGAATTTAGGATATCACAGATCATGGACGTTTTATGATCATTCTTTTCGGTGTCGACTCCCTTACGATGACAACAATTCCATTTCTGCTTTTGTAACGAAAAGAGGTCATGTCGAAGATGCAAATGTACTGGGACGTTTTTATCGATATGGAATCGAAGACGAACAAAAGCATTCATTTGTTATCAAAAATCAGGAAAATATAGAAGACAAATTTGGAATCGAGTTTCCTTTGTAATTGTTGTCGGGACGAAATTAGAGGTTGGGACGTGAATGACACATTGAGATTTGGATCGGGACGAGAAAATGATACTGGGATAAATGGATCATAAATATTGGATTCATTTTTTGTTATGAACCTTTTTTTTTTTTTGTGGAATAGGAATTAATTTTTTCTCTTGATTTATTCAAGGGTTATCGGGCCGAGAAATGGTAACCGAATAATAAGTAATTGATTTGTTAGCAGTTGGAACATGAACAGTATCTGGTTATGTTTTTTTCTGAGTGTTGTTTTTTTTTTTTTTTTGAAATAGAAATTAATATTTTTCTTTCTATGTAGATCTTTGATTCGTTAGTGTTTGGAACACGAATGGTACCTGGAGATTCGGGAGTAAGTATTGGTTCCATTATTCGTTGAGTGTTTTATTTTGGAAACCTAAATTTCTTTTGTAGGTCTTTAATTCGTTAGAGTGGTTGGAACTAGAGATGGGTTTCATGCGTGCGCATGATTCCTCAATCGTGCGCATTCATGGCATTTTATCCCATCTAAATTTTATATAGGAAAATTAAAGTATATTTAATTTAGGCCAAGGTGAATAATGCCAGGCAAAATTAAGAAATAGGAATGCAGAAGTTTTGAAAATTTCCGAAAAGAAAATGAATGAAAATAAAGATGAGAAGGGTCAGGGAAAAAAATTTGGCAAATATCCGATATTTCCGGAGGGAAAATATAAAATCAAAAAAATTATATCATGCGATATCATGCGCATTTGCGCATGTTATTATAAAATGCGCATTTTTCCCATCTCTAGTTGGAACACAAATAGTACTTGGTCTTTCTTCATCAGAAACTGGAATAAACAATAAGTGTCAGATTTTGTTCATTATTATAAGTTCGATTTTATTTTTTTGAAATAGGAACTAATCATCTTTTATATATATATGGGCTAAGTGGACATTTACAAAATCATGAGATAACCCGTGATTTGTGTTTTGAACACAACAATGATCTACATGCATCCGACCAAATTTAGACAGCAGAAAAATAGATCGGATTATTAACACGCTTACGAAAATTTCCGATCAGTGCTGCAGAAAGGGGGGAAATCGACAAAAAAAAAGATCTCCGGAAAATTAATTTTTATGCTATAAGTTTATAATAAATTATAAGAAAATACAGATTTCAGAGAGCTATACTGCAAGATTTTATTAGTGCAACCAAGTTTGCGCTCTAAGTAAAAAATAATCCTGATTTTATCCTAAATTGATTTATACAAAAAAAGGTTTTTTGAAAATTTGTTGATTTCCCCCTTTCTACAGCACTTAGACCACGTGATTGTAGGAAACCCAAACTAGACTGCGCTTTACTTTTACTTCAAAAAAAGAGCAATGAAAATGAAATAAATGCTTTGCTTTGTTTAATCGTAAATATTCACTA